CAAGCATAACACATAACAGTGGTACATTTTTAATCCTCTTCTAACATATTTTAGCACTTTAGAAATTACTATGGCATTACCATGACCACAGGCACCAACACCTTCAGCTTCGTTTTCACCTGAGAGGCCTAACTTCATTTCAACGTTATTTAATATTCACCATGCTTCCAGTAGTAAAACAGTACAGCAAAATCTAACCCGAACAACGCTTAGAATGGACAAGGACAGCTAATTTTGCTTGATACGAAATAAAACGTATCTTGATTCCTATTTAGTCATAATTTCACAGCCCACTGAAACTTACTCTATTGCTAAGAGACGCAATCCTACCCCTCTCTTGCCACTTCCTTGTGTGCCCCTGCAACACCTTCCCCAGACCAAGTATTTTTCCAGCTACATCACAAATGGCAACATTAAATGAATCCACATTAAAAACATCAACTGCATTTTGTTAGTTCACTTTTAACCTGGAAAGTCCCCAATCTGCGGTGGGAGTTATCCCCCGGTAACACATGTTGGCCTTCAGAAGACAGGGGGAACAGGCAGCCAGAGGGAATATTACACCACTCAGGAAGCAAGTCTGCAAGATGGCAATAGGCCATGAGAATTTTCAACATTATCACTACACTTCAAGAGGGGGTAAAAAGTGACTATCAATCAGGAAACCACATCTCAGGCGCCCATCTAGGTCATCCTTATGTGAAACACACCCACATTAAGGTCGGTCTTTGGGAACACCATCCAAAAACAAACCACGTACAACACCAGCCTAGTTATCAGTCAACTTAAAAAACAATAATAGAAATCCTTCTTTTCACTTGGTTTTGAGTTTTATAAACTCAAATGTCTGGACCAAGTTTTGTAGGGCTCAAACCAAAACAGAAGCAGTTCTTTTTTTTTTTCTTCCAGTTCAAGTTGAGTTAAGAAGTTAATTGATCTGGCATACGTGCAGGGTTGGAAATTTGTCTTACAGGGGGTTTTATATGCACGCTGCAGCTGAGAGATTTGGCTTACAACTTTGATGTACCAAAAAGAACTCTGTGGGACAAACTGGTTGAAAGTAATATCCATGACATAAAAAGGCAAGAAAGAAGGAAAGATATCCCTTCTCTAAATCACCCTTTGCCTGCCTGAAAGGTATCTCATTGAAAGAAAAAAACCTATAAACATATGGTGGTAGACTACATCATCTTAAAAGTCTAAATGAAATTTCTAGGCTATGTACTTTTTGGGCATAAAGATTCCCAGTTTCAGAACGTCATAGAAAATTATATGCTAAATATAACAACTCATAAAAATAATGATAAGCATCTCAAAAGAGTGAGACGCTGAACAGACTCTTGTCCAAGACTCATGGTTTCTGTCCACTTTAATAGTAGCAACCTCAAAAAATATTTGTACATTGCAATTGACTGGACCCACATGCTTTACATCTGCAAGTTCGCCTTTGTATTTCTTAAAAATGCAGGCCATTCAAAAATGTAGCTAGAAAATCGTTATTTAGCTGTTTAAATGGAGTTGTCAGGGTCCAGGGAGAACTGAATTCCTGTTACTGAGGAGCCTCAAAAGCTTACTCTTTTGGTTGGACCCCCCCAAAATGCAGTGTGACTAGCAGGATGCCTAGCACAAGACTGAAGTTTACCCAAAGCAAAGATTTTTTTTATTCAGAAAAAAAAAAAGCATAATCCTTAAAGAGAAAAGAAAGTCCGTCCTGTAGCATACAAATGCAAGAAAGGGCATAGAAGACCATCCTGCTCTTGTGGGTAGTGAAGGAAAAAACCGTCACATCGAAATGCCAGTACACAACACATCCAGAAATATTGTGGAGCATGTATCTCTACCCACTCACATAGATCTGTTTTAAAAATAGGCATGGAGTATGCATATAGCTGGTAATTTCTCCAAATTCGCTCCCCTCGTTCTTAATTTAAAAGCACTAATCTGCAAGCAAAGCTAAAAATGAATTGCTTGCAATATATAGTTATCCTGACTTGGCTCAGACAACACAGTATCAAAGTGCAAAACTAAGATTAGTAGATTATGTCAGAATGAGGTCCCATGGTTTATTTTTGAACTTTATAAATATCGTTAGCCAGTCATCATAGCGTGTGTGTGCCAAAACACGCTAATCTCCTGCAACCATCACGTCATCCAAAAGATGTCAGACAAGCAAGGCAAGATTAAAGAACTGACAGCAGAGCACAGGGTCTTGAATACCACAAACCCTCCTGGAGCACAGCAGCAGGCCACAGTTTCTCAACTTGATTCTTATTTTTTGCATTTCTCCTCTAGCCTTTAGAAAGTAAAAGAAATATAGTAACACTCACAGGTCCAAAGCCACCTTTTTGCAGAGCAAATCAAGGGAAGAACCTGGCAGAAAAGGCCACAAGAAGCCATGCAGCAAAGATGAAGCAGATTACAGAGGGGATACATTTAGAAAGGATTTAAGTCATGCCCCTCAAGTGATATAATTACGAACTCTTCTGCGGGCATCATCACATTTCTGCTGAACTGATTTTAGCAGTGTCAAAATGTCTGAATGCAACTATAGCAATCCTACAAGCACTAAACTGAACCTGACCAGAAACTACTCCGGCTCCATACGCTTGGCCTAGATGCAGAAAGCATATGTGAACCCTAGTTTAGGCTCCTCATTTTGTTTTCAATGCATGTTTTTAACCACAGAATCCCATTTTTTAGGCACAATTAAAGGACGGTTTTATCCTCCAAATAAAAATAAGGGATATTCCTTATGACACATTAGTCCGGGTGGGACAAGACATTTGCTGCAGAAGTGCTGAAGCGGCTTCACATGCCACTCTTCCCCTCGTGTACCAGTGAAATGATGATTTCCACCTGAGCCTTTTTTTATCTTGCTTCCACACTCAGCCAAGCAGGTCACTCCAAAAGGCTTTCTGCAGCAGCATAAATTAAGCCAATAAACTTGGCACGGGAGCAGATGGGGGGCACTCACAGCATCCGTCTGCTCGCAGACCAGGGAGCAGTGATCCCCAGCCGAGAGCCTGGAGACACGGCACTCAGCAAGGCCATGGTCTCAGCCACCGCTCAGCTTTGCAGCTGATCATGGTCACGCTTGCAGAGCAGTGTTTTACAGCTTGCAGAGCGGTGTTTTACAGCTTCGGACCCTTCATCTGCATAGGGAAGGGATGGACAAAAATAAAGGCCGCACGAAGGGGAAAAGAGCTAGCAAATTTTCAAACAAGACCTCACTGCTATAATTAAAGGGTTTATTCCTTTCCCACAGCCCACCACTGGAAATACCAGGCCTCTGTCGGATTACTGAAGGAACAACATCAGAACAGGATGTCATTACACGAGGGAAAGTGTGAAACCCGAGCAAGTGAAATGGCAAACAGTTTTAAACCTTCTACCTACTGATTCATTGAGGAAACGTTTTTGTGACTGACTGAAATAAACCCACCCCTACAAATGAAAACCAAGAGTTCCCAAATGAAACCTGCCCGTTAAAAACCAAGAAGGATCACATCCAATATTCCCAGAAGTAATAAGCCAGCAAAACAACCAACCCATCAAAGATCTAAGAGAACACCAAATACATTTTGGCAACCATATTATTTCCTGTATCTGAAATTCAGCGCCAAGTAATCCTCACATGCTAGACCTGAATTTTACAAGCAATTTGCAGCTTTCAAGTTTCCTGGTGGCTTCCTACCACTTAAAAATGCTTTAAATAAAAAACAGTAGTTAAGTATAAAAAGTATATGTGTACCGTACTCCATCACTCACTTGGACATTAAACTCCAGGTACAATTTACCCTTTGCTCTAAAGACCTAACAAAAGGTTAAAAACTGTCAACTGAAGTTTTGGCCTGTAGTGCAGGGACATTTAGGGCCATCAGCATCAGGAAACGCTTAAGGGAAGTTCAGGTTTGGCAACACTGAAATTTGCATTATTAGACTTGAATGTTAATGTCCCGTTAATCTTACACAGAGGCAGTCAAATCCATCAGCACTATTGTTTTCAGACTGTCTGCCCACTAAGGCAAACAATGCACCATTTACACTTGGTTTACATTTATAGTTGGGAAGAAAGCCACGAAAAGGACTAAGGGGGAAAACCAGAATGTTTTAAATGCAAATTTGGATTTAGAAGAAGCATGTATTCCTCTGCAAATTCCACATCTGCTAGATCACACAAAAGCTGGGTGTTTGCAATAAAAAATAATAAACGTGTTTCTGCTTTTTTTTTTCCTACTTAAAAATTACCTTTAAAGCCTCCCTTTCACTTGACTGCTGCAAACTGGAAACTTTAGAAACGAATGCAGCTGGTCTTTCCTCTCTGTCAAGTTCAAGTTGATTGAATTCAGTCACTATACAATAAAAATGGCCAAAATCAACCCCTAAATCAACCCCAAAAAAACCATTTCCTTCCTCCTCAAGAACTTTCAGATATGTTCAAACCAGGAAATAACAGTAACGTGTAAAAACAAAATATAAACTTTAATCGTGGAGTCTCTTTAGCTTCAAACTATGAGATTTAAAAATTGACCTACTTTATGTAATACTCACACAGCTGAGTCATCACAGTATCAACTGGTCTCTATCAGCTGCAGAGTATGATGATCACTGAAAAGAAGCATCCATAATGAAATGCCTCTTTTATTTTATTATTATGCCAAAAATAAAATGTTAATCTAACAGTCCAGACCATAACTAGGGAAGGGAAAAATTTTTAAGAAAGTTGGAACTGCAAAAAACTGGTCCCTGTAACGCAGATGCCATGTCTTGTAGTAAAAGCCTGTAAGCCACAGGATAGAATATTGGACAAGGCAGCAGAAATACAGATTAGTTCCAACTCTGCCGCTGTTACAGCATGTAGCTTCAGGCAAGTAATTTAGACTTCTTTGTTTTTCATCAAACAATAAAATGGAGGGAATGCTACTGCCTTACAGAATCAGCTGACGTTTATACCACACTTTAGCATATGCATAACATTAACTGTTACTTTATATCTACAGAAAAGGAAGGGGTAATATGTTTTTAATGCTGGCTTAGTAGGCCTCATAAGAGAAGGTAGAAGTGCTTAATGAACATTAGAAACTCTTCACGGGAGCCTTGATTCATTGTAATTCACTCTGGACAGCATATTACACAGATTCCTGGCTTGCAGTCCATCAGAGTGAGCAGGAGTCCATTAGTATCTCAGGGCAAAGCATCTGTTGATAGAAAATATTCATTTAAAGAAAAAAAGTATTTTAATTACTAGTTTCTACTTATGCACTACGCTATAGTTACTTACAACGTAATGTTGTAGTCTCAAGAGATCAGGAGGAGGTTAAGAGAAACCCAAACGCAGCTCTCAAGTGCAGCTAGCATCCTTAAGTTTTACATAAAGGGGGGAAAAAAAAGACTTGAGTGTGCTACGCTGCTGGAATTGTTACTGCAAGCCTATAAGAGACCTAACACAAGAAAGCCCCAGAAGGTGATGTGAAATAAGATGCAATGTACACTGAATACCACCTCTGCTGCCAACGACATATTTACATTATTTCTTGTAGAAAGTGGTCAGACTTAAAGCCTGCTGTCAGCTGTGGGGCTGCAGGAGAGAAATGAGGAAACTCCCACAGAAAAAAAAAAAGCAGGGCAGGGGAGTCCGGCTGAAGCCCTGGAGTGCCCAGCGTCAGGCCCCTGCACAAATCCCCCTGACGCAGAAGGAGGTGGTGGTGCTGCATGGTCACCATCTCCCCCAAAACTCCCTGAGCCTGCTCCAAGCACAAAGGCTGCAGCACTCACAGGAGCTCTCCTCAGATGTCTGCAGCATGCTAATCCTAGCAGGGCCTTGCGGGCCCTCTGTCTGAGGGGCTTACCAGGCCATTGGTAGGTGAAGCATGTCACCTCATGGCAGACTACAGGAGTTTTACTTCTACAAGGACAAGGAAACGAATCACACGAGGCAACGGTACTGACATTACTCCTTAATTATATTTTACCATCTGCTACCGTGGCAGAACCATGCAGGTATTTCAAGGCAGTAAACCAGGTCTGATACCCTGAGACCTAAGCCAGCAAAAACAGAAGATTTGCTATTCAGAATCACAAAACCAGGCAGAAAAACGCACCTGTGAAATTACGCTTAAGACTTCAAAGCTTTTCATTTAAGAACTATTAATTCCAAGCGCATACTGAACGCAGTCTGGCTTCTCGGCGGATGCTTTACAAAGCTGTCAGTTTTCTGAGGCTTGAGCCAAAAGGCAATATTTGATATGTAAAGATGTTTGAGAAGGAGGAGGGTAAAGTGAGAAGAAAGAGTTGTATGAGTCAGCCATGGTTCTTTTAAAAATTAAGTGATAGCGTTTTTAAATCACAGGAAAAAAAGATGCATACACGGATTTCCTCATTCCTGGGTTACCAGTCACAAAAGATAACACTCCCAAAGTTTAAGAGAACTTTCAATTGTGACCACTTACGGAGTGGGGAGCCAAGCCCGCGATGGCAGCCCACAACGCACAGGCTTTACTCCATTGTTCTCACCACCTTCTTGTTTTCGGAATTCATTTTGCAAATGCCGAAAAGAAGAAACGGCAGCAGCAGCCTGAACAGGCTCTGCTCCCCATACCACAAGACCAGGTTAAAGCCAGGTTGGACGGGGCTCTGAGAAACACGGTCTAGTCGAAGGTGTCCCTGCCCACCGCAGGCGGCTTGGAACTGGATATTCTTCAAGGTACACCCTTCCACCCCAAACCGATGTGACTCTGATTCTATGACAACCCGCAGCGGTATGAGAGGAGCGGGGCCACAAAGCGGCTGGGGGCGGGCAGGCAGCTCCTCACGGCGGGGCATCACCTCCGCGCTGGGGGCACCAGGGACCCGGGGCGGGCAGCAGGGCCCGACACCGGGACCATTGTTCCGGGAACAGGCGAAGCCTGTGCTGGCACGGGCGAGGAGGAGGCGGCGGCGGCCGTACTCCGCCGGGCTGCCGTAGCGCCCGAAGGTCACGGGCAGGAGGCGACGTGCCACCACGCGTGTCGCCACGGGGGCGACGTGACCGGCGCTCTCCTCCCACCTCGCAGCCCGAAGCGGGCAGGGCGGCCCCGCACCTGCTCACCTGGCCCGGGCCGCCCTCTCCCCGCCCCCCCCCGCGGAGGCGCCGAGAGCTGCCCCGGGGGGCTCCTCCCGCCCCCGCCCCGCCTCGGCTCTGACGTCACGGCGGGGGGGGCGAGCCGGAGCGCTGGGGGGGGCGCCGAGGATTGCGCGGCGCGCAGGCCCGTCCCTTTGTGACGTCACGGGGAGCGGGGCGAACCTGGCCGGGCGGCGGCGTGGCCGGCGGCCCGCGGGCTCCGCCACAGCCACCACAACCTGTTGCTGCTGCCGCCGCCAGCGCGCCCCGCCGGCACCGCCGCCCCCTGCCAGAAATGAAAACGGGGAGGGGGCGGAGGGGAAAGAGAGCAGGGGGGAGAAGGGTTAAATGAAAGCGCCGCCGCGAAGTTGTGACCGCGGGAGCACCGCGGCACATTGTCCGCCCCCGTCCCTCCTGCCTTCCTCCCCCGAGAGCCGCGCTCGCACCCCCTGCCCGGCGGTGCGGGAGCGGCGCCGCATTGTTCGCCTCGGCGAGCCCGTGGAGAGCCGGGGTTTGGGGCGATCTCTCCCTTTCCCTCTCCCCCAGCTTTAATTATTAACACCGCGGTTTCCTCCCCCTCACGTCCCCCCCCGCCCCGCTTTTGTCTGCCTGCCTGGGAAACGTGGACGCCTCGCGTGTTTCGCCACACTTTCCACCCGCCGTTCCCGTTTCGATGCCATAGTTTAAACTCGCCGGCCCCGGGCTCCCCTCTCCTCTGCAATGCGGATGTATTTTAATTCGGAAATTTAGGGGGTGTAGGAGAGGGGGGGGGCGGAAAGGAGAGGGGGAGGCAGCTCTGAAATATCGCGCACCACCAGCCCCCCCCCCCCAACACACATACATCGTTCCACCACCACCCCCGGGCAGCGTTTCAGCGGGGCGGGCAATCGATACCGGGCAGTCAGCTGGAGTCAACTGCAGTTTTTACCAAATCCATATAATAGCGAGGGAAAGTGTCCCGAAGGTCACCCTCCCTGCCCAGGAACACCCCTCTCTGAAAGAAATCGGCGCAGGCGACAAGACACGATATAACCTACAACTTTTAAAGCCTCGCATCAAACATACCCAGAAGCGAGGATTCATAATTTTGGGGGAGGCAGAGGGGGGGACAATATACATATATATATATATATATATGTATAATTTTTTTAACGTTCACGTAAAAATCATTATTCTCTCTACTGCATATATGGATAATCCCTTTCGTTTTTCCAAACGAAAAGAAAAACTGCCCCGTGCCAATCAAAACGTAACTGGAGCACGAACAAAAATCTAACTACCCATCCACATTTATATGTTTAAAGGATTAGACAATTACAAGGGATTGGTTAAGCGGCTGAATAAAGAGAGGCAGAAATACAGCCCGGGCTGCGCTGGATTAGCCCAAATTTTCGAGCCATCATAATGAATTATTTTTAAAACTGTACCGAGCCATTTTCCTCATTATTCCGGTCAATCCCTAGGAACGCGCTGCCCGTAAGGCGATCCCCAGCTGCTCCGGCGTCTATCGCAAGGCAGAGCAGCCGAGGATCACACACAGGAGATGGGATGTGGTACTGCGAGAAACCAGCTCGCCATAACCAGACACTCGGTTTCAACTTAAAGGGCTTCCAACAACCACCGCCGCCGCTTCACGAGACGGGGATAGACACACGTAGATCATTTAAAAAAAAAAAAAAAAAAAAAAAAAAAAAAAAAACCAAAAAAAAAACAAAACCAAAAACCAAAACAACAACACAACCAAAACCCAACCAAAAAAAACCCCAAACAAATCTCTCTTCGCATGCAAAAGCGCAGAATTAATAAAACCACTTGAAAATGCAGTTCGGTGACATTATCGCAGCAGCCCCCCGCGTTTCATCTAAAACTAGATTATGATTGTGTCATTTGAGGTCAATACATTTATTCACCGGAGGAATCGCTACACAAATCTGGTTTTATAACCAAACTGGATAGGCTTGCCCGTTAAAAGGGGCCTCTGAAACTCCCCCACCACACCACAGAAAAAATCAAATTCAGCATCACATTTGTTCCCAAAGCCTTAGAGCTGCAGGATTAGCTATAAACTTGACATTCACTGCCATTTCATAAAACTGGGAGTCAAACGATATATGTTATGACCACTTACGTATTTCTTTTGAATTATATTCCTCTTGGGTCTTTCTTTGCTCATTCTGGTATCCAAATTCTGATTGCAAAAGGGGACAATTGCTTCATGAATTAAAGCCGCGACAATTAAAAAAAAAATAAAAAATACCGAAAAAATCCAGGGGGGAGGGGGTTGTTTGTAGTGGTATCTTGTAATCCGACTTTCTTTCCTCACAATGTGATTCTCCTAGCAATAAATCCGAGAAATGGGGGACGGAAAAAAAAAAAAGACGAATGCGAAGGAAACAAAAAAAAAAAAAAAAATCACTTTAGTGAAGCATTATTATGGAAAATATCCCCCAAACACAAAAAAAACCGACGCCCTTGATATCCCCTTTTCTCTTTCTCAAGCCGCCTAAGCGATCTGCAGGTCCTTAGTGTCAGAGCTGTAGTTACATCTTGGAGGAGGAGAGGGGCCGGGAGGAGAAGATAAATAATCGGGACGTTGGAAGTCACGTTTGTGCCGCTGCAGCAGGGAAAGCAGCAGGGACAACTCCAGCAGCGGCGGCGGCTCCGGCGGCAGCAGCGGCGGCGGCAGCGGCAGCGAGGGCTGCACGCACCGTGTGTGTCTCCGCTCCTCCAGCTCCCCCCCTAACCAATGAGAACAGCTCTCCGCCAGCAACTTTAAATGGACCTGGCTCTCTTTTTTTTTTTTTTTTTTAATATATATTTCTGCGTTTGTGTGTGCGCGCGCGCGTGTATGTGTGTATATATATATATATAAATATATATATATATATATATATATACACGGACACACGCACACACACACATACATACATACACGGCTTAGGGCTCGCCCTCAATTCCCAACCGGGACAGCAGCCGCAGCGCCGCGCTCAGCGCATGCAACAGGCCTCGCTGAACACTCCATGCGGGTCAAGCGTTCCCTCTCCCAACCCCCACCCCTCCTCCCACCTCCTTTCTTTTGGCATTTAAGCGCGGCCACCTGGCAGCCAAGGTCGCCGCGAGCTCTGCGCCGCAGCCCCAGCGCGGAGTTTTCCGACGGTCCCTCAAGTGCGCAGCACGCTCGGTCGCCCTGCCCTGCCCCCTCCCCGCCCCGCAGCAGCCTCCCGCCTGCCAAGGGCTCTCCCTTCCGCTCCATCCTTGCGCCCGCCGCGCCTCCCCCAGGCTTGGGCACGCACCGGGGGCCCGCTGCGCTGGCAGCACCTGGAAGTCACGTTTGGCCGCGCAGGGCCCAAGAATTATCCTTGCTCGCGAGGAAAGTTGTAGTTCCCTCGCCACAAAATGGCGAACGGCGGAGAACTACACCTCCCGGCGTGCCCCGCGCGCCCGCCCGCCGATTGGCTGCGGGGCGAGGAACCCCCTTCGCCACGCTCGTCCTTCTCCCCTCCCCCGCCTCTCTGCGTTGGTTTCCCCCTCCTGCTTGTCTCCCCCCAGCCCCCCCCTGCGGCGCTCGGTGGTAGAGGCTGGAGGGGTACGGGGGGGTTGCACGGCAGGAGGAGGAGAGCGAAGGGGAAGTTTATTGGGAATCGCTGACAGGGAGTGGGGAGGCAGGCAGGCGCCGCGGGAGGCTGCCGGGAGAGCGCGGGGATTAATGTGTCTGGGTTGGGCTGGGAAGTGGCGGCACGAAAACTTTGTGTCTGTGGGCTGCGCCCGCCGAGGAGACGGCGGTCTGGGTCTGCCGGACAGGCGGACAGACAGACCGCCGGCTGGACAGAGAGACCGCCTGCCGGGCGGGCGGGCGGTGTCAGCTCGGGACAGGCTGCCGGGCTGAGCGAGCTCTGCGAGGCTCGCCCGATGTGTCTCCAAGGTGTCCTGAGGTCGCGCCTCCTCTGCTGCCGGCGCCGCCGCGCTGGGGCTGCCCCGCGGGACCTGGCTCGGTGGTCCGGCGCTCCCGAGAATAACCTTTCTGTGTGGATGGATGTGTGCTTTCAAATCCCGCCAGAAGCTCGGCAGTTTCCCAGGAGCAGCGGCCCGTCCGCGCCGAGAGCTGGTGCCGAGGCCGGGCAGCGCCGCCCTGCCCGATCCCCGGCGGGATCTGCCACGGGACCCGCCGGGCGGCACCTGGAAACCCGGTGTCAGTGAGAAATCCTGACATTTGATTAAATTATTTTTTTCCCCTTAAGTTAAACCAAAAAACAGTAGGAAACTGGGTACGAAGTGGAAGGTGCATCTTCAGTGAAAACCCAACAGTTCTTTAATGGCGGATTAAGCTGTTGGAGGAAATCCGGAGGAGGGTCACGAAGCTGATAAGAGAACTGGAGCACCTCCCCTTCAAAGACGGGCTGAGAAAGTTGGGGCTGTTCAGCCTGGGGAAGAGGAGGTTGCGTGGAGACCTCATAGCAACCTTTCAGTATCTGAAGAGGACCTATATGGAAGCTGGAGAGGACCTCGTCGTCAGGAAATGCAATGATAGAACAGGGAATAATGGGTACAAATTGAAAGGGGAAATTTAGGTTAGATATTAGAAAGAAATTTTTTACTGTGAGAGTGGTAAGACACTGGAACAGGTTGCCCAGGGAGGTTGTGGATGCCCCAACTCCGGCAGTGTTCAAAGCCAGGTTGGATAAGACCTTGAGCAACGTGGTCTAGTGGGGTGTCCCTGCCCATGGCAGAGGATTTGAGACTAGATGATCTTTAAGGTCCGTTCCAGCCCCTTAACATTCTATGATTCTATGGTTACATTTACTCCAGGGACAGGGAAGAAAGAGAGTCATTGATGATCTCCCTGGTGAGGTATCACCATACCCAGTGGCCATTTGTACTTTTCTGTACAACTCTGGCATAAACTCTGAGGTGAGGTACCTCTATGCTAATGCTTATATACTTATATAGTTATATATTTAAGTAACACTAGGGACTTCATGCTGTCTTCCACATGCAGTTTTTATGTTCAGATCCTTTCTGGAGAGTATTTTCTTTGCTCTGTAGGGGCAAAAATTTCTGTGCAAGGCTCTTGAGTGGCAATGCTCAAACTCAGGAGAGCAGGAGACACAGAACTTGCCAGAACCTCACTCACTGATTCCTAGTCTTCTGTCTTCACTGTGAGGCCATCCTTCCTCACTTATGTAGATAAGTGAGCATATTGTTCTCCCTTTACCTTAGAAATATGCAAATCATGTTTAAGACACTACATAGAAAAAATAAGCTATGTCATGATTTCTTAGTTTTCCCTTCACTTCTTCATGCTTACTGCTAATTATTTTGGGACATTTTTCCTAATCTTGTGTAATAAAAAAATGGGGTACAAAATGATCTCTGTGTGCTTGGCCTCATCCAAAATCAAGCTTTTATGGTAATACTACTTGTGATCAAGTTAGTCTTTTACAGCCTTTTCTTTAGGCCTTCTGTAGGAAAATATACATTATTTCTAAGTGCAAGTCTGAGGAGAGTATTTTGTTCCTTTAAATTGGAAATATGCACACTTCTTGGATTGTTTAACTTTCTGCCCTCACTTATTTTTATTAAGGTGTTTATGTAGCATGAAGGTCTAGGACATAATTGGAAGAAAATGCTTTTGTCTCAGGTGTTCTTTGATTAATAATGGTGAGTCTGGGATTTTCCAAGAGACATTTTGGAAAGCCCAAAAAGACAAAGATTCATGTATTTCTGGGTCGAGAATTGAGCAAAAAGGTTCTTGTAGAAAACCTACCTGGCTTTTCTCAAATAAAATGAGGTAGCAAACCCAACTATTCCCCTCCTTCTTACTTTGGAGATTACTTCCTGAATGTCCTTAAAGTCTCGGGGTGTTGCTATGTTTGCTGCTGGCTTTTGTGCCATGTGTTGAACAAGAGCTTCCTGTCAGTGCAGACTAATGAATTTCTTCTTGAGGCTGCGTGGCAGAAACCTATCCAGTAGATCCGTGACTCTATTTACATTTGCGTTCTGTTATACAGAGTGTTGTATTATGCACATGCTGAGTGTCATGTATCCGTGGTGGTTCTTGCCTTTCAGTTCTAGCTTATGTGCATTTTGGAGACTGACCTTTTAAATATTCAAGCTGAACTGGTTTACTGTACTCGTTTACATTTTTAATTAAATGCTGTTACAATAGTACTTAGTATCACAGGTTAACTGCTATTGATATCAGTGTTTGCCATTACATTTGATCACTTTCTTTCTTTTTTTTTCTAATTTGATAGCAAGTTTCATCCTGCTCACTTCCAGCTATAACTGTGCCTTGAAGATGTTTGAGAGGTGACTAACATTAGAATGGTAGAGTTTCCTTGTTTTCATCTCATTCATTTCTTCTTCGTTGTAAGAAATCCTTTTACAGGAATTACACACATTTATAAAGGAGTCTCCAAACTGGATTTATATGATCTATAGTTAGTTTTTAATCACTGTCCAGCATCAACCTTTCCAATAACTTGCAAAGCCAGAACAGGCTCACTGATCTGGTGTATGATACTATTGTTCAAAAAGATTTGAGGTTTTTTTGGGGGGTGGGGATTTTTTGGGGTTTTTGGGGAGGGCAGTGATGATATTGTGGATTTGTTCTTTGCATGAGCATAACACATTTTATGCATTGTGCATTTGGACTTGTGCATACGAAGCATCTTAGGTGTGGTTGTCTCTGAGCAAGAGGTGAAATATGGTCATCTTCTAGCATATAAGATAATCTTCTAGCGTGCAGTTCAGTGAAAAGTGAGAGGAAATTTCATTAAGAAGGAACCTTGGTGATACCTCTCCAGCTACTACAACTTTCATAATACTTGCCTAGTTCACATCTCAATGAAGATAAAATCCCTTTGAGGTTATAGGAAAAGAACATTCATCCTGTCTGACTTATGTATGACTGCACTTTTTTTTTTCTTTTTTTTTTTAATTTTTTTTTCAGTCAGGGACTACTGCTTTTGACACTTTCAAACTTAAAGAGCAGGTTTGTATGGAGATTGGATTGGGGTGTACTCAGAGTTCTGGGGCAAGATTTTTAGTAAGCTGTTGTGAAAGGTCCTGGTATGGGTGCTGGTCAAAACAAATAAAGAAGAATATTTAGTTCTTCAGGAAAATGAGGATTTACTATAAACCAAAGCACAACCATTTAAGTTTTTTTGTTCTTATTTCTTCTTTTTGGTCAAACAGATAAAACAATAGGCACAAGCAGTACAGGGAAGGCAGAAAGAACATGGGGTGAATTCAAGAGCCATAATTCAACAGTCAGCAAACAAAGGGCATGATGCCAGACAAGTTCAGCCATAAAGGAGCCTTGTCTTGGGGGCAGGCTGTGATTGTTTGTGGACAGATGGCTGCTTACCAGTTAATAAAAATAACTTTTGGATGCCTTTTCTTCAACTGTGTTGTGTTTACCTGAATTATGCCTGCCTCAGAAAAGATAAGATTAAGTTTTCTAGTGCTGAATAGGTTTTCTGCATCTGAAAGGGATACAGATTTGAATTCCAAGATCTTATCTCTTGTGTGGGGAAAAAAGCAAAATGTTTTGTACACTGAGAAGTGTCAGGGTGGGAGAGGGTCGAGAGCTTTGCCCTGCTGGATGCAGAACATGCTTCTAGCCCTAGAATCAGGTTGGCCATCTGCAGAGATGCAGTAATGCATGGGGGATTCTTGGACTTTTCTGAGGTTTGAATGGCTTCTGGAAGCTTGATAGAGTAGGTAAAGAGACTAAAAATGGACCCCCAGGTTTGTAAAATTGAGGCATGTTCCTACAGATTAGCTTTTTCTGCCATTAATGATGACATCATTTCTGTGTAGCACATTTTGTTTTGAGTTTGAGAAGACGGAACTTTACCACACGCAGACGACTCTTTCCTGTAGCAGGAAAGAGTGTGGAGACCATCACAGGCCTCTGTCGATAGATAACTTGCCACTGGCTTGAGTTGCTGTCTAGACCTGACATTCCAGTTTCCACACCTTCCAATTGGGGTTCCCTTCCACTTTCTGTCATGCTTTACATCCTATCTGTCCTGTACTCATATTCTGCTTTACTGTTTTGCTTTGGTCTTAAAAGCCCCAAAGCACGTTAAAGCAATATTGGAGTGGAATATTAAAGATATCATTGCAATACATATCTAAGAGAAAAACAGCTACTTCTGTGAGTGGTTCCCTTGGGGAAGAGGGAAGTAGAACTTCCTTTTATTTCTTCCCATGGGGAAATAGAGATGTGAGTAGCCGATTGCTGGCTATCAGTTTGGCCACTTCCCCACAACTTTTTTCACATGTTAAATATATGCATAAATGAACACATTTTTTTAAACATACACATAAAATGCAAACATAATGACGATGCAACATAGTAAGCCAGTGTACATGCAAGGTGGTGTCTCTTCATGTGGGTCTAAGGGTTTCCCAACAGCAGCTTCCATCATGCAGTTAAGCTCCACTTGTGTAGTGGATTCTGTATGCACAGAGAGGCCGGATTCATGCACCGCAGATTTATGCACGTGATTTAAAGTCCTCTGAGTAATTGAGACGTGGTGCCTAGCATCTCCAGGATCCTCAAAGCAGCCGTACATACACGTGCAGACAGACACTATGCAGATGGTCAGAGTGAAAGGATATTAAAGTGGCTAAGTTAAGCACTGAAAAGTTACCAAATGCCAGAATTGGGGAAATGCTTATGCAATCTTAATTCTATCCATACATCTATATATTGCTTTGTAATAATCTTAAAATAGACTACATACCTTTCCCCCCACCTCCATAGGATGATTGGGTTTTATTCAGTGTGTTAAGCAAGTCTGCTCTGGGGATGAATTAGAGTACATGCTGAAGGAGAGAGAGCATTGTCTGTTGAACTCTTACCCTCCTATGTTCCTGTGAATGTAAGAAGGGAAGACATAATCTCATTGTTAAGGCAGCTGAATGTTGCTTTGGAGAAGTTGATCCTCTGCCAAGGAGTGTGATGCTGGGTAAGCCATTTACATCAATCTTTTAATAGTGGCCAGGTCAGCACTACTAATTTGTACATAAATAGCTACAGTTGTGAGGTAAGTGATGAGTTGTGACTTGTGACCATCATAGCTCTTTTATCTGAATCTCCTAATGTGCAGGATACTTTGTTCTCCCACTTGAAAACGTAGAAGAGGAGATGGGGAAATAAATATGTCTGTGGTTGCTAAAGTGTTCCTGTTGTAGCTCTTGCATTGTGTTCCTCATTTTATGGGTTCTCTTAGGACTACACATGTGCATCTGCACCAAAGGCTGGTAGAAGCCTTTGAACACTCAAAGAAAATGCTTTGCTTAGTACTAGCAAGACCTGGGTTTTAGGTACTTCGAGACTCTTCAGATCTTAATTTCTGACTGCCTCAGCTTACAGTCTGTAAAATGGAACTAATATATTCCTTTAGCATGCAAAACTGATGGAAACATATTGCTTGTGGACTGTCATGATGTTCTCAGTGCAAGCACATCAGAAAAAGCACTACAAATCTCTTCATTTGGCTCTTTGTCTGCCTTTTCTCTATTGAAGTTAGTACTATGTTAGCCTTTCTTTCCTTTGAATTTTATTTCACTCCTTTTTACAACTGGCAATGTAAGGTTGCTTGTCCTTGCCACATTGTTCAGCATATACTGCAGTTTGCTCAGTTGCCCTGCATCTGTTGAGACATAGGACTGTGGGACAGTAAGCCTTGAGGTACACAAGCTTGAACCAAATCCTCATAAGTACACAAGCTTGAACAAAAAATGTGAAATGGGTATGAACTTCTGATTTTGATTTGGTGCAAGTTCCTGCACAAACTGTAATTTTGCTTAAATGTGAACAATTTTAATTGAGTTAATAATTTTAACAATTTCATTACATTGAAGTAAAATGCTTTTATGTGGAAATAAGAGCTCTATGAGGAAGAAGGGGAACAGCAGTGTCTTAATGGATTGAAGAGGGAGTGGAGAGAAATACTCCATCCTTCTTCCTCCTTCTCTTCTTTTTCCGTCTCTTGAACGTGCTCATTCAAAAGTCTGTCTGTCTTCCTCCATTCTCTCCCCCTAGCCTTATGAAGAATATCATGCTTACTTTGAGCCACAGGGAAGATCAGGCTCATGTGACCAGTGCAGTCATGGTTGTGATCAAAAGACAATGTTGGATCGATGGGCAAGGGGAGGCTCTTTCTGCGGCCAAAAGAATCATGGGACAGTGCTGGAGCAGGGGAGGAAAAGATGACTACCTTGTCAGCATTTCATTGTTGGCAAGTGGCATGGGAAATACAGGAGAAATTGAGAGGGGAAGGTGGAGGGTCGGACTGGAGCAAGTGCAGAACCAGGTAGGTTGTGAGAAGGGAGGACTGGAGAAAGGGGCAGGGAATAGGTAGATGGAAAGGAGCATGGGCTAGCTTTGCTGTAGAAGTCGTGTCTGGTGATTTTGGAGGAGGAAGGTAAGAGGCAGCACAGGTTTTGGTGCTCCAGGGTGGGCCAGAGGCTCTAGAGACTCTCAGGTCAGCTAACACGCCCCACAAACCTGATATTTGCATGTCTCCCTTTCCTGTCTGCACATCAGCTGTCTGGGCAGAGCCTGTCTTCCAGGGCCATTTGCTTTAGCAGCAGGCAACACCAAGGCCTTTCTAGGAAAGAAATAAGGTTGTCTTATTTGAGGTGGCTTAATTTGCAAAGAGAGAGTACATATGGCTCTTGAGATGAGATGTTGCAAGCTGAAGCCCATCTTTATAGGCAGTAATGATGCTCCTCTCAAGCAGAGGACACACTCAGGTTTCCTGTTGGAAAAAAAAAAAGTCTCAGTTGCTCGGAGCTGGTTCCAGCTGATGAGTAGTGTGGAAAAGTAGTGAATCAGGCCTCAAGTTTGGCTACTAGCGCTGGCAGGGTCAGTACTGCTGGCGTCCAATTTACTAGCCAAAGTTTAGCCATAATTTTTCCTTCTAACTGACCATAAATTTCACACATTTGAAACATCATTTGTATTACAGCCAAGTAGAATTAATTTTGAGTACAGAGGAAGCTGTGTTTTTAATAAAAGGCCATCTTTATAACTAATCAAGTAGCACAAACATAGTGGTATCTTCTACTGAAAGAAGAGAAGCAGCAAATTACTCTTGTAGTCATAAGGAAGGTTATCAGACAATTTTGTATTTAATAACGGTATAGAAAAGGCCTGATCCTGTAGGGTGCTGTATGCTCTCCACTAGTTTCAATTTTTTTACCAGTTTTTGAGGTACCCTCACCACTACACAGAGTCAACACCTTGAAATCATTAGGCAAAAAGCAGAGTATAGGAAATAAATCATGAGAACAGCTTGCTTGTTTGTAAGAATAGCTTTTGTGGCCCAAAAACTTGGGTATATGTATTCTTTTTTGTGATAGTTATTATTTTAACTCCAGTAGTGGTCTCTGTTTTTATTGAATTTGTAATATGTGCTGACTTTGGATGCACAGTTTCAAAGTCTTCTGCTGATGTGAGATGAAATTTGTGCTCTCTTTGGTTCATGCTATGTCTTCTGTCACTGCAGTGCCTGTATAAACACGGTTGATGGTATGTAGTAGCATGGTGTGAGATAAAACCCCAGCTGTTTCAGAAGATATTGCCTGCTGCTATCAAGAGGTTCAGGTTAGCAATTTTAAGTGTTACAAGGACTTATGTTTTTGAACTGCTTTCCTGAAGAGAAGGTGGAAATATACATGCCTGGCTATTTTAGGAATCATTCTTTCTTGAGTGTGCTTATACTTTATGAAATGGGAGCTCAGGGAATATGGATAATAAAGCTGAATTATCATCCTTGAGTGTTTGTAGATTAAGGATACTGTGTATGAGTGAGTCATGGTAAAAGCTGAATTAGATTTAAAATACCAGCAGGAACAACAACAATAGAGGATAGCCCAAGCAGGTGTCAGTCACATCATTGTAATTCTTAAAGGATTTGGGTACAGTTTAAGATTTGCCTTCACTGATGCGGACAACACACCACCAGCCAGCTAGCTTCTACGATCCCTCCTGCCGACCAGTCCATGAAGAACTAGCTATCTGCCAAACAAGCTGTTTGTTTTACTTCAAAGCCCCAGTGGGCCCAGCCCTTCCTGCCTAGCAGCTGCAGCAGGCTCTGTTCCTGCTCAGTGCCTGGCCTGGGAAGAGATTGCTCACTGGCCCAGGAGAGCGGTTCTCCTTAATTGGCTTGTGAGGAATGCTGTGCGAGAGGATTTGGCCTTTTTTTAAAATTGTTTGTTTTATTAAAGTTTGTTTATTAAAGTGAATATCTAGTCACAATGGAGACATGTTTTTTTGAAGCCTGTGTGTTGCCAGGAGAGCAGCATAGAGCACTGATCAGGTTATTGCTTCCCCA